ACCCGATTTTGACCCGATGTTTTTCGACGCTACTTATTCTTTGTTTCGATGTGCTACAGAAGACAATAAACATCTCAAAATAATATCAGGATGGAAAAAAACAAACCATTTCCTTGCAGAAAGATCTCGAAAGGTGTGATCTGCGCTTCATGTAAATTTAAATTTTCGAAGGGAGTGTATTTTACCGTTTGAATCTGAGACTTATGCCCAGTAGATCCAAAGATAAGACTTTTTCAGTTCTTGCCGTGACACCACAAAAGATGATAAACACCTCAAAATAATTTCACAATGGCGTGTCAGGCGTCACGTAATCGATTTGCAGAAATATCTAAATAGGTTTGACCTGCGCATCGTGGAAATTTTGAAGAAATATTGTCTTTATTCGTAGAGAGAGCATTTACCATTTGAGTCAGTACTACTGATTGCCCCAAAGAGCTGTTAAATTTGCGAAGCAATTAAGCAAGTCAAAAATTGCATTACGTATTTTAGAAGTGAAAGTTACTACAATATTTCTCAAAGTTTATTGGACAGCAAATCGCATGGCTTTCTCTTTGCAAAAGTCTTTGTTGGTTTGATCGACAGATCTTAAAATATAAATGCACGGGGAAAGAATTCCAGACTTTTGTCCCCAAGAAAAACAAATGTAACGGATTAGTTGAAAGCCGACATTAATTGTTGTACGTTTTGTAGAAAATTCCGTAATCCTAGCACCTAAACTCTTTGGCTCCAACCTATTTCTCATTGTGTTTTGGTAGAAATTCATAACTTTTTCAAAAGACAGAACAGTACACTAGCCTTACCGAGGGCAAAAGACTGGGGAGAATAATTCGATTCTATGATACGGAACGAAAATTTTTAATGAGGTGCCTACTAATGTTCAAAACTAGTGATTTTTTTTTGCTAAGGACGAGCCAAGAATCGCCTCCCGGTTAGCTTAATTGGTTAGAGAGCCGGATTGTGTTGTGCGGGAGGTCGAGGGTTCGAGCCCCGGCCGGACAAATACTCATGGT